ACGATGGTATGGAGGTGCGGCTTCGGCCCGTTACTGGCAAGAGCTGGGATGGCCACAAGAAGGAGGAAGACAAGGCAAAGAATTCAAGCTGAGAGCGGCCTGGGAAGTTGGGAAAGACGCGCCCACACACGGCAAAGTGCTGTCTAAAGATGCTCGGATCCTCCATGCTGGTTTGGGGTCGCATTACCTGGAAATGGGACATGGGTTGGGGCAAGTTGCGGTAACGGTCTACGTGAGACAGAAGCTCAACCACAGGCTGAGTAGATTCACCCAAAGATTCAGAGTTTCCTCAATGCAGGGCTGTGGCTGACCATTCCTGTGCCTTTCCCGCTCAACCCGAGGAGAGAAGGAAACACTGAAAGCCTAAATCCTAAACCCTGAAAGGCTGTCGGCTTTCTTGAGCCTTGGGATTTGGGGCATTGTGTCGCAGACCAGAAATGGTGAGCCCCCGGCTTCTGCCCCGAAGTTTCGAGCCCTCATCGGTACATATCGGGGATGTTTTGGAGCAGGGTCTTAGGCTTGTCATGCGCTGTTGGAGTATTCTCGTTGACTCCACACAGAAGCCTCAACCTTCAAGCTTGACCCCAAGGCGACAAGGACGGAGGTCAATGCAGGTGCACGACTTATAGTTGCACCAATATCTGTAAACACTCCGAAAATACCTGTATGTCTGTACCATCAGCTGCGGGAGACGTGAGCCGAAGTAGAAAGGAGTATAACCCAAGGGTAGTTCGATAGGCACAGGCTCCACCATGGATCCAGCAAGACGACCGTATCCGCGCGGCTCAGAGTGATACCCACGCCGGCACAGCGAATGGAACAAAGGATAACGCGCACGGATTCCTCGGCTGATCTGCAAAATACAATGGCAACACCATAGAGCAGTCTATAAACTTGAAGGTTTAGGGTTTCGGGTACATGCTAAAGTAAGCCCTACGCCCGCAGGCAAGGTTATTGAAAGGGGCGGCATCTCGGGAAAACAAACACATCCTGCGCAGAAGCAAAAACCTTCAGCACAGTTATGCCACATTGACACCAATGCAACCCTGAAGACGGACCACCACTGCTTCTGTATTGTGCCTTGGAAATAAAAATGCACTGATGGAACTGGGCACCCAGAACTTCGTAGGCTCAAGCCCACAACCCCCCTCACCGGCTACAGCCACCCGGAATCCGCGAAATGTTAAGCCAGAAGCCAAAGGCCTGCATCCTAAATTCTCGTAGAACAGCGCAGCTCCCCACGATCCAAATAAGCGACTAGAACCTTAAACGCCAGTGCCAAGCCCAAAGTGACAAGCACAAACTTCAATCCTTCAATGATAAGGCTCAGACGCTTAACCTAAACCCAAAAGCCTGCGGTTTCAATTTGCACCTTCTTCGAGGCTCGTCCGTCCGAAACGCTTCGATCTTCTCTGTCCGTTCAGTTGCTGACATCTCGCCTGCCCCGACTTCTAGGGTTTTGGGCTCAAGGTCGTTGAAACCTGCATATCCTAAAGCATGCTTCTGCACAATCCTAAACACTACCGTAACCCCGAGACCCTAAACGGTAAGAGTGCTTGTTTTTTCTGTTGCGGGTGCGGGGTGATCCCCCTTGGATTAAGGGCAGGGGGGGTTGGAAAACGAGGAAGGCATTTCTCGACCCCCCCCCCTTCGAGATTCAGCACAGACCCCGCACATACACCAGAGACAGTGACAACCATAATTGCCGAAATTTAATTGCCGAAAGGGGGTGCCCCCCTACTCTTTCGGCACTAAACAAGCCGAGGGCAATGCGGGGTGCGCTGTTTTTCTTGCGGCGGGTGCGGTGGGAAATCCTAAACCAAATCCTAAACCTTACATTTTGAACCCTCAGCCTAAACCCCGGCCCGTAAACCCCCAATCCCTATAAACCCTCTATGTATCTCTATGTAGTGTCGAGGGTTTACTCGAACAAACAGCCCTGTAGCCAACTCTAGAGCAAGCAGGGTACCCTAAACCCGAAAACCCTGTAGGAGTTTCAGAATAAGGGATCCTAACATAAAGCCCTATATAGTAGGATCTCTCCCTATTGTAAGAACCCTGAACTAGGGTACTTTGAAACCCTATACCTTTTGAGGGTTCCTTACTATGATTTCCTTCGTGCCCTCGAAAAGGTAGGAGGGGGGCGCAGGTAAACCCTATAGGGATATCCATTGAACTTCGTTCCACCTGGAACACCGGGTTTCAGAAACTAGGGTGTCTTTCTTTTGGGGGTGCTCGTATCAGGATCCTCTTTTGGGTTCCGTATTTCTAAACATCAAACTGCCCCGAATCTAAACCCTAGGCCCTAGACCCTAAACCCTAACTAGATACGCAAGGCCCTGCCGCAACTGCAACCATCGCCTGTGAGTAGGACATATTTCTCCGTCTTCAAAAGAGATTCGAGTCTCTTGAGAACTTGTACGAACCTCAGGGCTGCAAGGAACCCAAATTTCGGGTTGTAGATATCCATGTGCTCTGTTATCTGCTTTGTGGCTATTCTCATCCAGAGCCCCGCCTTTCCTCTGGCAAGCAGCACATTCTAGGGTTCGCGGTGACTTAGAGGACTCTGGCTATGAAGGTCTCATCGTTTCCAACCCCAGATTACCCCTCTGTCTTTGACAAATCGGGGGCCTTAGTTATGGAGCCCTGCTGTAGTTAATCCTTCTCAAATATGAGCTTTCCCTTAAAACTCCAACTGACACCCTGAAGCACTACAACCCACCAACCCCTTCTTTTAAACCCTCACCCAAAATCCCTAAAACCTTCAACCCTACAAAAGCCCCCATCCGAAGAGCCTGTATCTGTACCTATAACCCACTTATAAGCCTATTCGGGCACTCAAGGGGGCTTTTAAACTCCAAGTACCCTAAACCCTAAACCCCCAGCCCCTTTCCTTAGGCGTGCCCAGGAAGCTGGCTGAAGACGACGATCTTGTGCTCCGGCGAGCGCTGTTGGAGAAACTGCGCGGCCCAGTTCAGCTTGGAGCTGGGAGGCACCTGGGGTCAAGGGATTCGGGTTTAGCATCTAGGGGCCTCCGGATAAGGAAACGTTTTAGGGGACCCTTGCTGTTTTCGGGGTTTGGGGTTGGGGCTTCAGGGATTAGGGTCTAGATGGAGCTTCATAATGCTGCTCATGCTTTGTGTCGGATTTCCTTGGGGGTGTCCGTGTAATGAACGTGTACAGTACACCCTAAAGTGTCGGCATAGATCGAGGGATGATTCGTTCTGCTTTGAGGGCGTGAGGGCAGGGCTGTTCCTGCTGAGTTTAGCTGCTAAATGCGTGTATGTACATATAATTTCTTATTGTGCCCATTCCTCTAAATATAAATAAAAAACAAGTAGGAAAGATAAAGAAATAACTAAACAAATAAACGAACTACTAAATGAATAAAAGGTGAACAACTAAACAAGTAAATGAATTATTTTACTTCGAACATCCCCACCCTCTCTTGGTAGTGGGGCTGGGACTCTGCGGTTGGGCACTTCAGGAAAAATCTGGGGCTGGGCACTTCGGGGACGATCTGGGGCACTCCAGGGAGTCTGGGGTTGGGCCTCTGGGGTTGGGCACTCCAGGGAGACTCTGCGGCTGGGCACTCCAGGGAAACGCTGGGGTTGGGCACTTCAGGAAAACTCTGGGGTTGGGCACTCCAGGGACACTCTAGAGTTGGGGTCTCCAGGGACACTTTGGGGTCGGGCACTCCAGGGATTCGCGAGGAGTAGACGGGGCGAGGAGAAGAGTTCCGGGCGAGGAGAAAGAGTTCCGGGCGAGGAGAAGAGTTGAGTTTAACAAATCTAACAACCCCACACCGAGGGTGGGGAATAAATAACATATGCACATGCACACTGGCAGCTTTTGAAAGGGGTCATCTGTATTGCTATGTCTCGGTTTCGATATTGGCCAGACAGATAGGCAATCAAGCAGATAGACAGACAAACAGACAGCTTTGCAAGAGAAGCAAGCCAGCATCATGCGTTGCAGGCTTGAGGCAGCATGCGTAGATCACAACACCACCCTAAACTCCAAACCCTAAGCTTCCTAAACCCCAAACTTCCTAAACCCTAAACCCTAAACCCTCGCTCTCTCTCTCTCTCTCTCTCTCTCTCTCTCTCTCTCTCTCTCACAGGCGCTCAGTCAATGTCAGGCCTGTCGTGGCATCACAACCAGCACAAAAGAGGCAATGGCTCGCGACCACCGCACTTACAGGAATAGCCGACTCAAATCGGCAGTGGCTCTTTGACCACCGCGTACACGGACCGCTCTTGCATGGCACTTTCTTGCACCCATCAGCAACGACGGACCCTGTCCCCATGAGAAGCAGGGACTGACTCAAGCATGAAAACGCAATCGAAGTAGAAACGCATAAGATGTTGCACACATTCCTGCCATTGTTCAGTATCCGTAACAGTAAACCGAAGCCAGCCAAGCCAAGAAAGTACTGCGCTGGTAAAATCGTCGTCATCGAACGATAATTGCATCCAACCTTCCTGGACATCTAGCCACTTAACGTGAAGCCTTCCCTCTTCTCTCCAGCAGAAAACAGCACGGAACCAAGCAACCGCAGCATTGTAACATTCAAACCCGAAACCCCTAAACTTCATTTGAACACGGGCGCACACCAGGGACACACTTTTGCCTATAGCTCAAGGCGCCTGCGATCCAAAACACAGCGGTATGTACACTATACAAATCATGCTGCTCATTGGGCTTTCCTAAATGTGAGTGTTTGTTACGGCATGTGCTCAAGCTTTACACAATAAACGAGGAGGTATTCTCACCCGTCTTATCTATTGACACATGCCGGGATCCTGTACACTGAAAACGTGCAGGTGACACCATTTCAGGCACTCTACTAGTGACTAGTGCGCGATTTCCGGGCTCTCTACTAGTTCGCAATTTCGATGACATTTCTAATTAAGCTGCCATTGACGGCTCAGCACATCTGCAAAATGCAATCAATCTCCGCTTGGGACTTCTCCTTTCTTGAGCTTTTTCGTTGGATCACTCAGGATGACCTTCCCTTCCTGCATCATACGGAAGAGCTGATGTGGACGCATACTCTTCGTGAGTGCGTCGGCAACCTGGGTGGCAGTGTCTGTCCACCTCAGTTTGTCACCGTGGGGCTTGTACAGCTCGTGGGTCTTGACGTCCTCACACCACAGCTGTTGTCTCATTGATTCCAACTCGATGGCTAATCTTTTGTCCGTTACCTTGTTTCCATGGCATGTACCCAGATGATCAGTGAGACTGCGACAGTCACTCACCCACTCGTGTCGCATATGCTTCTGCGACTCTTCCAACCAGTTCTTCAACACTGGCAACTGACCTCTGAGCTCACAGAGAATAGCGCGGATGCGATCCCCTGCCTCGACTGCTCCTTGCATCCCGTAGGTCTCCGCCTGCAATGTACTTCGGCACACGCGACGGATGGTGGTGGAAGCATAACCAATGATGTGCGCCACATGGGTATTCGTGTCTACCATGCTCTCTGCCGTGATGTAGTGGATGCGTCCCTGCTGGCTTCTGAAACCTGGCTCCCCAGCAAACGAAGCATCACTGAAACTCACCACGCATGCTTCCTTCCATGTGAACAATCCGGCAGGGTAGTTCATGGACATTGACATTTCTGCTCTTGCAAGATCTACAACCTTGTTTGCATCTCTTAGATCTGCTACTGTGGCCTTCGAAATACAACGCTGGAGACAATTGACCCTGTAGCAGAGGTCTGGTCTGGAGTACCTCGCTACCCAGGCTAAAGATCCGACTACGCTCCTAAGGGAGGTGGTTTCCTGATCTGTTATCTTCTCTGAGCCCTTCCTGTGCTGCTCCACAGAGATATGCCGGATCAGTCGTGTGTTATCCGTTATCCTCCGTGTCGATGGATACATTGTACTCACTGTCCTGTCTGAAGCGTCGACCGCAATATCGGAACTCGCCTTCCTCTATCTTTCCTAGCTCAAAGTGGGATAATACCCTGTCCATTAGCTTTTTGCCTTCGTCTGTATGGGCCCACAGCAGATCATCGACATGCGTCCCCAACATGACCGCCGGTATTCCGTCGGTTCCAGGGACGTAGTAGAGTCCAGGGCCGATCTTGGACATCTTCAGCCCCTCTTGTCGAGCAGCCTTGCTGAGTCGCACGAAGAATCCACGACCTGCATCCATGGTTCCATACACTGGAAGACGGCATAGCAACATGGCTTCAGGGTCCACGCCTGGTAGGCCTCCTCTAGGCTGCTTCATGAGAATCACACGTTCGAGAGGTTCCGATTGAAAGTACGCCGAGGACACGTCTCCACAGTACAACCGTAGGCGATGGCAAGCTGCATAACTCGCGATCATGCAGTGTGTTTCGGCTTCCGCCGTCGGAGAGTCGCATCGCAATTGGCTTTTGTCTACGTCCTCAAAGTTTCCGCACGAAACTAGTCTGCTGCGGAATTTGGGGGTGTAAGCCTCAGTGCCTTTTAGATGTTCGTGTTTGTCAACATCCACCCATTGGGATGGCACGGGCTTGTGACCCTCTTGCAAAAGTTTGCCCAGCAACTCACCTTGGATAGGAACTGCGGCATTCCATGTCTGGTACTTCTTCCACTCGTCGCCGCGTGCACCCAAAATTCCATCACGAGTTCTCTCATCCACATCCCTGATGTCGAGTTTCTTGGGCTTCTTACCCTGAGCTGCTTCTTCTGCGATCGCGGTCTTGGCAAACCTCTCCGTCATGAAAGCGATGTAACCTGCATCCGATACTGGTGCATCCGGCAGCGATGACAGGTCGGCCGAACCGAAGAGCTTTTGTTTGAAGCATGTAAATCCTGTCCACTCACGACTGTCTTTCGAGTCTGCTTCTCGGATCATTCCCCATTCGTCTTCTACTGTCTGTTCGGTTCCATCTGCAAACGTCTTGTAAGTGCTTCTGGAATAGCTGATCTCATCAATGCTACCTGGGAAATCACTTTCATCGGGGGTGTAGAGCATTTCGCGGGGCTTCTTGTGTACACGGATGAAGTGGCCTTTCATTACCTGCCAGTAGTCTTCCGATCCATCATGCGATGTCGCCTCATTTATGGCCTGTTCCCAACTGCTAGGACTCATTTCCTCTGCAACATCCGAATTCTCCTCAATCTCAACCCCGTTTCTGTAGCTCAAGTATCCGGTGTCCTTCATCAGGGCCTCTAGCGGCTCAGTGTGGAAACCGAGCGACTTCAAGGCTTTCCTCTGTTCCTTGTCCAGGCTGGCGTAACCTCTGCTGGCGTAAGTGGATATGGACCAACGCTCTCCCTCGAACGGCATTGTCGCATGAGGTTGATCAGGGCCAAAGGCAACTATCTTATGCCTGCTTTCCAACAGTCTACCCGCGCGGCCCTCATACTCTGCATGCTTTCCACGAGCACTCGAGTCCCTGACCCACAATTCTCCTCCTGTGAAAGGACCTAGGCTTGTGAGCTGGTTCATGGAGCCGGGCAGGTTGTTGGAGTCCTTGTGCAAACTTGCTTCTGTGTTGAAATTCACCACGAAACTTGACCATCCTTCGGTGGCACCCTTTGCCTTCAGGTACTCGTTCACATACCTCACAAACCATACCTGTTCCATGGTGGCATTCGTCAAACCTGCGAACGGTCCATGCGCATAGGCACCCAGGCTGTAGCTTCTCCCGGATTTTGTCGCTTCTCGTTCCCCTTTTCGTTGCTTCATCTTCGTTGCCCTCAGGATTTCTAAGCAAGTACCTGGCCTGAAATCGCCTCTGTCTAGCGCCTCTTTGGCCATCTGCTCTGCTTGTGACATGGCAATCTCCTCCACGGCAAATGCTTCATTGTCTTCGCCCGTCTTATCTATTGCTATCTTAGCATCATCTTCCGAGTCGCTGCTTGAACTCGAACTGGAACTCGAGCTCGCACCGATTGGGGCATCCTCGGCCTGCTTCACCACGATCTTCCGCTTCTTTGGGTCCTGTGTGCTTCCTGCTTCGGGCGAATCTGGCGGTTGTCTAGACGGCTTGGGCTTTCGAGGGTCCTCTGAGCTACCTGCTTCGGGCGAGTTTTGCTGCTGTTCTGAGACCTCCAGCGGTTCTCTAGCATCAATAAACCCTTGCTTCCCTCGAGGCCCTTCTGTCAGACTCTCAGGTAAAATCGGGGTCCCTTTCAACATGCAATGGGACATCACTTCCTCCTCGGACGCAGGACGCAAGGAATGCGCTGAGCACAAGATGGGAATGCCTGCATGCACCACCCATACCGATTCCGAGTTTTCTTTCCCGATAACCCGCGCTACCGAGCTCCATTTAGTTCCACCAGTCTGCATGTCCCGCCTGTACACTACGAAATCGCCAGGCAAATAATCTTCACGGATAGCGACAGCGTTGCGGGTGAGGGCTTTTCGGACTCTTCGGCTGCAATCTAGATGAATCATCGCACGCTTGGCGTTCATCCTCATCTGATGTCTCTGGGCGAACTCGCTGTCCTTGCTGTGCCTCGCCTCCAAGGCACCCAGGTCTGCCCATCCATCCTCATGGGTGAGGGCACCAGGTTCGGTCGGATTGCGGCCTGTGATCCACTGTTGAGGACTATAGCCCCCAGAGTTGACCATAGCATTCTTGATGGCCACTACCTCTTGCGCAGCCCGCCTGACTTCCGTGATTCCACGCACCGGCGTTTCATGAATCACTTTGCGAACTATGGCCTTGGCTAGGCCACCATGTCTTTCGACTTTTCCTAGTTGCCATGGAGCCTCAGTAGGAGCATATTTCAGGTCGATTCCTTTCTCTGCGGCCCACTTGGAGAGCAACTCCCGGTTGTGGGTGCCCCTATCGGCCATTAAGACCTTCGGGGGCTCTTTCGACACTGGGCGCAGAACCTCAAGTTGTTGGAAACCAGAGGCTATGTCGACCATATTCATGCACTGAAACCGCTGTTTGTCAGAATCAACCACCTCAAGGATGTCAACTCCAAGTGCATCTCCAACCTGGTACTCCTTCGTTCCAGACCCCACCGGATGTCCTCTCGGCTTCCCGGATGTTTTGATGCATGTGTCGCATCGTACAAGCTTGGCAGCCTGCACGAATTCCTTTGAAGCACCTCCTGCCTTCAAGATCGCTTCGAGGGTCCTAGGGGCAGGGTGGTTGAACTGCCTGTGCAATCGACGGATTGCCACTCGGACCTTCTGCGGCAGCTTGCGCCACAGTGCTCTCCTCTCTTGCTCGTTTTTAGGCACTCCTGGAAGGGGAAGGGATTCTAGCCATGCCCTCTCACGTTCCTCGGGTGTCATGGGCGGCTTCATGGCTTGCTCAACCAATCTCTCCTGTTCTTCTCTCACCTGTGCTTCTTCAACACCTCCTGAAGATACCCCTTCTAGATCTCCAACACCTCCAGCGATTTCAACATCCGACCCTTCGGGTGTGTCAGGCTCGTAATCAGGCACATCGTCCAAATCGCCACCTGTGGCTGCAACCATCGCGCTCGACATCATCTCGAGGTACGCTTCATCAGCAATGGTCTTCAAGAGATCTACGAACTTATGCTGATTTGTGTCCTGATATGCTTTGGGTGTGTAACCATCACCCTCAAACCACACACAGATGTCCTTCCCAATAGTGCGGGCCAACGGTCCAACGCACACCATATCCGCATCTCCCTCACACTCATGGGTGTACACTCCACAGTAAGGCATCATGGACATGGGAGACAGGACGCAAACAGTCACTCCTGAGGCGTCAGACTCACAAAGCAAATCCATGATGATCTTAGAATCCGGTTCCAAGGCCTTGTACACGATCAGACCTGGCCTGTGTTCGTTGATCTCGTGGACGAGCCGGGTGATCTTGTAATCCTTCGGCGACATTTGGGAAATTCCGGGACACAAGGGGAACTCTTGGTTGTCATGGATGAGTATCAGGGTAGTCGCGGGATCTGAGTCTGGGCTGTACGAGGGAATACCAGCAACCATAGCTGTGCATCTATCCATCATGCAAACCGTGCGAACACCAGATCGGTAACTGTTGCGCTGGGTAGGGTTCATGATTGCTGTGTAGGCCTGCTTCTCTTTTTCATATGCAAGGCTGCTGTGATATGTAGGGTGCTGCACGACCAGGACGAAGTCGGCTCCAGAATCGATCTCGGTAGACCCCGCGTCTCCTTCCCGAGATGTCCACGTCCGACCACGCTTCGTGAAGGCCACCTCACTCCAACTCAGAGGATGCATCTCCCGAGGAACCGCAACAAAACGTGGCAACTGCTTCATATCCATGCCCTTACGGACATCATACAAAACAACACGGATGTTCTGCCGGAAGTTCTCGGCCGTCTGCAACTCATCTGAAGGACCGCACCAAAGCTCCTGCTTGCAACGGAGAAACTTGCTGCTAATACGCGAGCCCAATGTATCCAACAACTCCGCCAAAATGCCACGATCCAGCCACGGACCAACCTCGTGGGTGATGTCATGCCTCCAATCATCCGCAATAGCGCCGCTGGTTCGCGGGATCCTCTTCCAAAGCGGTGGTGGCACACTAGGTTCCGCAGGCAAAATGCGTGGCGTTCGCGACCTCTGCAATGTCTCGCGAGTGCGAGCCTCAGTCCTAGCTGCAGCTCGGCCCCTCACATCAGCATCGCTGCGAAGCTCAGTTGGCTCCCCTCTCCGAGGGATTGGGTCTCGGCCTCCCTGCAAAGACTGCAGCTCGCTCCTCAGGCGATCGTTCTCCGCAGCCAGCAGCTCCACGCGCAGCCTCGCGTTCTCGGCCTGCAGGGCAGCTTCTTGCGAGGAAAGATCACGACCCGAGGCTCCCGAGCCCGTGGGCGCTTCTCGCACGCGGTCCGTACCGCTGTATGCCCCAGGATGCCTCTGCGAAGGCCTGGGCGTCTCCTGCTCCAGGTCGACGACCTCCTGAGATGGCACCGCTCGTCTCCACGGCCCGTACCATCCAGAGCCCCGCAGCGTCGGCTCATCCCAGCTAACGTGGGTGTAGGCGATGCTGCGTCGCATGTCCTTCATGACCTTAGCGACAGCTGCAGGAGGATTGGTCGACTCCCAGCGGCCGAAACAGGAGCGCATAGATGCCCAACTGTCATCACGACCAGCGTGTACGATCTCAAAATTGCACTCAGCATCGAGGATAGCTGTGGTCAGCTCACAAGCGGCCACAGATCGGTGTCTCGCAGCAGTGCAAATAAATAAGATGTACATCGAGGAAGGCCGGGTGCTCTTAGCTACCCAGGTGCGTAGGCCAGCAAGAGCATTAACCAAAGCCGGGGCATGCGCCACCCGATCCAAAATAGCGGGGCTCTTCCCTATATGGTTCGTGATGGGTGCCGGGTCGGATACTGCAGCGAGGTCGCAGACGAAACATGAGCCGTTGCTGGGCACCTGGGGCCCGAAAACTGATCTCACCAGCTCGAGCGCGGCCCGTTTAGCCTCAGAGTCGTACTGCTTATGGCCATCTGCATACGCCTTCCACTGCGATGCCCCACGGAGCCAATAAAAACAGTCGTGCAGTCGTGCGATTACCAGCCGGCCTGCTCGCAGCCATATTCGCAGATGTATCAAGACTCGCGGCGTCGGGCAAAAAATCGGAACTCAAGGAACCACCAGATGTCTCAGCTTCGCCGGGAAAAGTAGTGGATGTCGCAGCAGTATGCAAACGATCGGAACTCACATCCAAAAGATTGCCAGAGCTCGAGGGCTTGTCTGAGCTCACAAGACTCGCAGGATCAGAGTTCACAGGGCCATCGGTGAAACCAAGCTCTCCACCCTTCAAACGACCCTCAAGGGTTGGGGAATCGTCTTGGGGACGTTCGTTGCATGGTTCATTCCGATCATCTTGCTTCTCGTGACTCCGTGCCTTCTTGTTCCGGGGTAGCACTATGGGTCCATTCGCTGATGCTGTCGAAAGCTTTCGTACTCCCTTCGGTAGTACGCTGCGATGCTTCAGACCAGTGCTGAGGTTGATGCATAGGAGATTGCTTCCTTTTGCACGGGCTAGTGGCACATGCATCTCTATGTTGTCTCTGAGTATCGTGCATGTAAAGTCCCTCATGTTCTTGACCAGTCCAAGCCGACATTGAGCAAATTGGGATAGCAGCAAAGGGGCGTTGTTCGACTCCGGAAGAACGTGAACATCCAGAAGTCCCGACACCAAATTCCTTCCACTAAGCTCGGGTTCATCCCCTTCATATGTCTTGCCCTTGCCGGAACGGTCAAGGTCGAATAACAATATGGAAAAAGGAATGCGTCTCGTACCCAGGGTAGAAGTGGTGGAATCTAACCCGTTAAAGGTCTTGGCCTCCGAACTCATCCATAGAGCCTCAAACCCCAGGCGGTGTAGCTTCTGCTCTGTGTTACGCATCCATACTCCACCCGCAACGGAGCTATTTGCACCTTCATCAAGCACTGCGTAAATGTCAGGGCTGGACATCAAATCTACCTCGGGTAGGGTCAAAGCAACCTCGTCATCCTGAAGAACCGCCATGTACCCACTCAAGCTATCTTCATCCATGTCAGACATCGTGGTCCTTCGTCTCTCGCTTCCCGCAGCTGCTGACATCGAATGACCTGGGAAAGCGCGTGCGCGTGACGGCATGTCGGGGATCTGCGTCGTTGTCGGGGGTTGTGGTCTCTCCTCTTCTACCACTGCTGCTAGAACACTGTCTTGCACGATTGCATGTAGCGTACCCACCTTGATAGACGGTACTTCCCCTGCACAATCTTGCGCTACCAACTCATTCTCTACCTGGGTTCGGAGATCATCAAGAACTCTCAGGACTTGAGCGGTACTCAGCTGGGTCTCATTTGTGATGTCTTGGTAGATGTTAGATACCAGATCAAACGACTGCGACGTAGCTGATGCGATGCTCTTACCTGTCGTCTCTCTCTGCGCTTTGCTTCTTCTCGTGGCATCTCATCGATGAAATTTCCGCAATCCTTGCAAAAGACTCTCATCGTCGATCTAGAACTGCCCAATCCGCTCGTATGCTCATGACTGCACTGTGTGATGTCCTTCTTCTCTGGCTGGGTCTTCTTTATCTTCTCAACATGTCCACAATCCCTGCAAGTCCTCACCGTTACGTACGCATTGGTTCCACGTGTGCTGACGTCCTTACACACCCTGCACTTCACCGGGAGTGGAGGATTCGGGGGCTTCTTCTTCGCCGTATAGTGACTGGATGATGCTGGTGCAGACACTTGCGCTCCCTGGCCGGACGGTCCAGAGGCTTGAGATGGTCCCATACGGTCGAGAGGAATCTCTCGCCTAGTGACCTCTACTGTATCTTCATCGATCTCGTAGTAGTTGCGCACCCAATCCAGATATGCTGCAAGATACAACGAAGGCTTCTTCTCCTTGAATCCCCATACCGCATATCCCGGGTACTTCCACGTCACTTCCTCAAACGACAATCCTGTATGTTGCCCGAACTTGAATCTCTGATTCCCTCCGGGTGGCACAACCTGACTACACAGATCACGTACCTGGGAAGGTGACAGTCTAGGTGCGGCGCTTGACTTCGGCGTTGCGCCTGCCTTGTAGGCCATCATGGCATGAGGCGTCCCTTGTCCTCCATCGGAAATCACCAGGCAATCCTCATCATCATCGCTAGAATCTGACAGAGTCGCAATGAAAGCCTGCTTCGGAGGAACCTTGGGCGCTCCGCGTCCCTTGGGGCATTGGGGATCCCCGCTCCAGTGACCTACCTGTCCACACTTCAGGCACTTCGATCGGGACTTTATCTCTTGCAGTCTCTTCTTCCTCTCTTCTATGGTCAAGCTAGACTTCACCACAGGGAATCCCTTCTGGCCTTTACTTTTTCCCGAGCCTTTCTTGCCCTTACCACCAGCCTTTCCCATGATCATGTTAGCGGCTAGCTGAAGTTGAATTGCTTCGGCTGTGGTATCCATGTGGGCTTCATGATCGCAAGACTCCATCACGTTCAAGGCGGTAGCCACGTCTTCATCCGAGACCTCTTCCACTTGTTCCATCTCGCTACTCTGACTCACCATTGCATGACTAGCTTCATCGTCATACCAACTCTCCGCCTCATACTGCTCTTCATGTGCGCTAGTGACATAACCCCAGTGTTCTTCTTCTTCTTCATGTGTGTACATCACGTTCTCAGGCATGCTTCCGGGTATCTCTGCCACGTACGCTTTCCATCCAGGTGAGGCACTTGAAGAGCCGAATCCTTTTCCGAATCCTTTTCCCTTGGGGAAACCCTTCGTAGTACCTTTCCCTTGATCCTTTCCTTTTCCCTTCGGCCAACTGTCCTGTGACCCAAGGATACGTTGACTGCGTAGGTGAATCAGTCCGTGATGCTCAATCATGATTTTCGCATAACCTTCAAAGGTATCTATCCCACCGGCACATGCCTTGATCATCAATTGCTGATCTCTAGTCAGACCGCTAAGTTCCAGTAGCAATTCGGCCCTCAAACTGTCCGAAAGACTAATCCGAGGATCTAGCTGTTGCATGAGCAGCCACCAACGACGGCGCCTGCCTACGTAGCTGACAACAGACTCGGTCTGCTGCCTAGCCAAGGGTCCGAACTTGTCCTGACCACTGCGGAACAAAGCCTGAGCTTCCTGTGTACCAAGCGGGAAAACCATCCTCTTTATCTCATCAATCAGAACTTGAAGTCCATTCTTTTCACCCAACTTGGCAATGCCCAAATCCTTCGCCTTCTGGAAAGCATCACCTCTCAAACCCTCAAGCACTTTAAGAACTGTTTCCATCCTGCCGTCATCATCTTCTTCTGAATCGCCATCTTGATCGCGGCCACGCTCATCAGCGTCTTCGTGGATGAAACCTTCCATTCCATCAAACGACCCTTCCGATCTAGGTCCATGCTCCGACCCTCTCTCTGACGATGCTCCCTTCGGGGTTCTCTCCTTCTTCCCTGTCTTGGGCTTGCTTGAAGTTGTAAACGACTCATCCTTCTTCTTCTTACGGACTTTCCGGGATCGTTGTTCTTGGGCTGCAATCCGTAACTGTGTTCGGAATTCCCACTCATGGTAGTCTTCTGGCGATCCTCCGTAGATGAAACTACCATTCTTCGTGACCGTGGGGGCTGCATCGTACACCTTTTGTCGATATCTCAAACCTGCAACTGTCATGATCCAAGATACCAACAACCAACTTGCTTCTTGATGTGTCGAACGATCACACCACGCAACCAAGCAATCGTGTCACTACGTCAAATCGATCGTAGCACTCCTCTCGCAATCAACCAACAATAGTTCGACGTTGCCTCAGCCGATCGGTCAGAGGACTTGGGAAAAATTGTAGTTCGCCTTTCACTCACACACACTCCAACCCAATGGGCCCGCCGGAACTGCCTCCAATAAAGGAGCAAGCAAGCTCCGCTACCAGTTTGAACACGGGCGCACACCAGGGACACACTTTTGCCTATAGCTCAAGGCGCCTGCGATCCAAAACACAGCGGTATGTACGCTATACAAATCATGCTGCTCATTGGGCTTTCCTAAATGTGAGTGTTTGTTACGGCATGTGCTCAAGCTTTACACAATAAACGAGGAGGTATTCTCACTTCATAAACAAATCATAAAAAAAGAGATGGGGGCGGCAGAAGCAGGGAGCCCTTCATCTCCAAGGAGTGCATTGGTTTCGGCTTTTTGGTCGGGTTAGGGATTTAGCGAGACGTTCGGGGTGAGGATTCAAGGAAGCTCTGAACCCAGATCCCCGAACCCTATAACTTAGGGTTTAGGGTTTAGGGTTTAGGGTTTAGAATCCCCTGAACAGCTTCAACCCCAAAAGGGCCCCCCTAAACCTAAACCCTCAACCCTAAACCCCCTCACGGCAACGGCCAAGACACCGGAAAGTTGAGCCTCCTCGGGTCCAATCCTTCTTCGAGATCTGCCTCGGAGATTTGCAAGAGATCCTGGCGTAGTAGGGGGTTTAGGATTTCGGGCTTATGTTATACATAAAAATACCGAATCACTGTATAACATTCATGTATATACATATACGCCTATCAATTTCTTTGCCCACTCACTATTTATCTATGATGATGCCGGTGATGACAAATTATGAGTATCACTCCTGAAAGGCTTTTGGGGCTCAGGGGTTCTACTGAAGTTATAGAGCTTCGGGCTGAGGCTTTAAGGCTTTAAGGCTCAGGGTTTGTGGCCGCCTCCTTTCGCGCTTCAGAAGTGCACAATGGGCATGTTCGATGCCTGCAGGGCCGGGCGAGCTTTGAGAGCTGGTGTGCTAAGTACGTGTTGACAAATCAAAACCCTGGCCCTAACCCTCAAGCGAGACCCGAAAACCCAACAAAGTGAGTGGCCGAGCGGTCAGACTAAATCCTTGTTGGGTGACTCCTCCAGCCAGGATCTCATGCAGGACGTGTGGAAGAAGTGAAAACACCTGAGCTTCAAGCTCGAGGTTTCAGGAAGGGTGACGGGGTGTGGGGAGGACTGGTTACAGCTCTTTGGGTCCTAGCGTTGATTGTGTTTTTCAGGTTCCTTGTTGAGGATTCTTCTGTAATTGTTTTTGCTTGGCCGGCCCTCTTCCTCTCGGCGGGAGAAGACCACTGCCCAATTAAGTCGGCAAGGACCCGGTTAGGGTCAAAAGGGCTTTTGGCCTTTCATGGGCTGAACTTGCTGAACAGGTACCACTCCCCGCAGCTCTAAAGTGCGAATACTGACTGAGTACTTCCTTGTCTTCTTACATGTTGCAACAGTTCAGGGTGCTCTTCCACCAGGCCCCTTGCTGACCCTCCAGCCAGTACGAGGAAGACACGTGAATCGACTGTCCGTGCCTGGTTGTGGATATCTTCTCGGCCAGGAGTGGGTCCAAACATATGGAGCAGGTAGCACCTGCTATTGAAGTTCGAAACCCTACACTACCCCCCCCCCCCAACTCTATTTTAACCCTAAGAAACCCTTGCCTGTCCAGTCTTAGGGCTGCCGCTAGGACGGATCTCTCTTCTTTCGAGTGGTACCAAATGGTACTACACTGGCTTGGGCTTTGGGTTTCAGGATTCGAAGAACTACTCCTATTCGTGGGGTATCGGAACGGTCTTGTACGTGCTCTCTGAATGGTACCGAAGATTGGGCCTTACATCCTGAGCCTCAGAATCTGAAGCGAAAAATAGCCGGAAATAATTGGAGAGCAGCATCTTCAGACTACATAGCCATGAACCTTGAGCATCCAGCTCGTAAGCGAAGGGCCGCATAAATCGAAACCCCTTAATGATGAAAACCAAAGCCTTCAAGAATGGGGAACAACAAAGCAAAGAAAACACCTTTGCTTCTTTCTCCAACAGGCCTCGTGATGCAGCAGCCCGGTACAGCAGATCACTCACAATGCTGAGAGTAGTGATGCCGCAATCTATCGAAACATCCTAAACAACACACCCACAAACGCACAGACAAAACACAAAGAAAGCCAATAGTTGAAGAACACCATTTCTCAACACAAGAACAAAAAACGAACTAAACCCTAAACCCTAAACGCCCCCCCCCCCCCCCCCCCGGGGGATGCCTGGGGCTTCGACGACCTCCCGAGCCACCCGCGTCTGCTGCGCAGCACTGAGCCCGGAGAGCGCCCTGAGCACCGAAGGGGCGCTTTCGGGTTTAGGGTTCAAACTTCGAGGATTTTTGCCACCTCCCCCCAGCAGCCTTCGAGGGTTTCGGGCTTAGAGTTTAGCATCTCAAGTCCAAGCATTCACGAGTGAAGCTCCCTTCTCCGGTAGCCACCCACCCATTGTATCCCATCACATTATGGAAAGGTTTTCACTTCTCGTTTTAAGCTTGTACTAAGTCCCCAGATCTCTGAAGTAGGTCCAGCGGCACCAAGCCCGCGAAGCCCTCTACTTGAAGCCCGAAGACCCTTCAATATGCTCCAGCTAATCGTGTCAGCTACAACTACGCCCCATTCCCTACAGCCCTAAATTGAAACCCTGAACCCTGCACCCTAAACCCTGAGGCCAAAACCCCGGAATCCCCAAAGGCACGGGCCCTAGATCAGCTTCAACACCCAGGACTTGCCTCTGTAACTCCCCGAGGCTGCGAGTATGCAGGCTTCGCAGCACCTGTGCAAGTTTAGAATGTCTCGTCTAAGGTTTAGGGATTTAGGTTTCTGGTCCTCGAGGCCACGTGATTTACCCGAAAAACCCTTTTTGCAGGTCTCCTCACCACTGCCTGCTTCGCCCTTATTCCCCAAAAACCCGAATCCCCCAACCTCAAACCTGAAATGCTGCCAAATCGCTGCTTCGGGAAGGAGGTCGCAGGCGCAACACAGCTGCCGCAGCTGCAGCAGAAGGACAAGAGGATTTTGGATCTGCGCCTCTTTTAGGGCTTCGGACGTAAGACAATTAGGATTTAGGCTTACGATTTTGGGTTGAGAGTTTAAGAGTGAAAGATTTGGGGTTTCGGACATTGTCTTTCTGGATAGCTGAGGGGGTTTAGAGGATGATGGATAAAATTTCGGATTATTTAGATTCAAGGAGTTTTCGACCCAGTGCCTCCGCCCCTTCCTTGCTGAGGAGCTTCCTTACGGCTTCGAGACTAAACCCTAAACCCTAAACCGCGAAACCCTAAGCTCCGCACGGAGACGTTGAGGCTTCAATATGATAATGGCCACTCAGCAGTTCTCTACATTCGCGTCCCGTTTAGGGTCCTTGACTACAAAAGCGCCGCCGTCGTTTAAGAACCAAGAAAGGGAACCGAAAGCAGAGACCTACCCATGTTGCTACTTTGACTGACAGTCTGCTACCTGTATTGTTACTACTATTGTTACCATCTCCACGATGGCAGCAGATTGCATAGGCCTACGTCGGGCCTACGCAGGATTGACCAAGCCAAGAGATCAAGTCTGAGTAGGGCACTGCGCTCAATTCGGCTTCAGAGTTTATCCCAACTCAGCAAAGCTTCATGATCAACTCGTGGCAGGTGTTGTACAGAGCACGCTCCTCCTCGGAGAGTGGAATCCTCTGAACAAAAGCCTGCTTCTCCTGGGTTCTGAGAGCAATTGGTCTAAATAGTTGTGGTTCCTATGAAGGTAACAGAAGCCGCCCCCCCCCCCCCCAAAAAAAAAAAAAAAAAAATAAAAAACAAATCATAAACAAAAACAAATCGAAAACAACAAAAGCTACCAGAAACAGAATAAAGCAATACAACATTAAAGCAACACTGAAACACATAAATCATGCTCCAATCCAAACGCCCCAGTCTCTGGCAGCTCAACAATGGACCGCTCGTGGCCGGAAGGATCCTTCGCTCGGAAAAGCTTTGACAAAGAAGGCTCAGCCCCGGATGTGTTGCTTATATGTCTGACAGAAACCTGGTGATGAGAGTTGGGATCCTCATGCCAATCCCGGAACCCCACGTGTTGCTTAAGAAGCTCCTTGGTCTTGAGATGCTTGGTCCGGCGCAGTAAAATGCTCTCCAAGATGAACCGGAGCCGCTTGATTCCCTGAGCATTCGCAGCTTTGGCCGGCCTCTCAATCATCCGCATCCACCAGTCCCGTTGGTGGAATGGCTCTACTCGCAAGAGCGCGATGAAACTGTAGAGATCTTTGAAGCCGTTGACAATCGGGGTCCCTGTCAAGCACCAGCGAACTGCCGCGGAGACTTGAGAGCAAGCTTTGAACAGCTGGGTGTTGCTGTTGCGGATCTCATGTGCCTCGTCCAGGACCACTCGGTGCCTCAGCTCTCTCGTAGATCTTACGGACTTCGGCCGTGGGCAGGGTTTTGCGACAGTCGAGCTAGGGGTAGGGAACTTTGTGTTTTTTTTTAAAACTGCGAGTGCAAAAGGCACTTTGGCCTCTTGCCACCACTTGTGTCGAAAAAGCCACCTGTCTGCATCTGATCTTTGGAAATGGGGGTAATGGGATCGGATCATGAATGCGAGGACCCCTGTTTCCCTCCCTTCAAACAAAAGGGGACGACAAATTCGAACTAAATAAGCACAACACATAGAATCAGCTAGGTTCCTACATCAAACAACCTTCTGGCTTCATACCGCTCTGAAACTCAGTTGGGTAGGATCCCTGTACTCAAAAACCTTGACGCCTTCGCCTTAAGACATGCTCATGTCCGCCAGATGTTGGGTTTGGGGGTGTAGCTTTGAGGATCTGGACTACAGTGCGCCC